CGACGAGCTACGTATGGACCTTCATCCTACGACGATTACCGATGATTATCTTTATTGCGTCCCAACAACTATGCTGCCCGACCAGTGTGTTTTGGTTTCAGCATTTGTGGACGAAGATGATATTATATCATCAGATATGCTCGGAGACGAGCCGAAATCATGTGAGTCCTGTCTAGTCTCTCTTTGTTCAAACACAGCCGACGAGAGCTACTCTCTAGACAGTGATGAATACGGTCCTTACGTTGAACTATGCTTTACATCAGAAATGTCTAAAATAGTGTTGGATCAGACTCAACTTGCACAGCTCGATACCGATATGGTCGCAACGATGAGAGTATATGTGTCCTCTGCTGCTAAACGTGCTGTGGTTGTCAAAGAAGATGATCTACTAACCAAAGCCGACATAGCAGCACATCCAAAGGAGGTTAGTGAAGCCTTATATACTGAGCTCAAAATCTGGATTGATAATCGATGCTTTGAGATGTACGATTTATCCAAAGCTTCCAACATCATGACATCCAGATATGTATACAAGTGGAAGTTCGTAAAGATGGGTACCGAGAACGTTAAAACCATTCGTCTCAGACTGGTCCTTCGTGGATTTATGGATACTGAGGCTTTTGATGTGGAAACATTCTCGGGAACCGCCCGAAGGCAGTCCCAACGACTCCTGGCAAGTGAAGCGGCATGCCATCCAGAGTGGATCTTAGCATCCATGGATATCGATAAGGCGTTCCTCAAGGGTTTGACCTATGAGGAACTTGCCCATGCCACAGGCGAGGAAACTCGCATGGTTTGCTTTACTCTTCCACCAGGAAGCGCTCAGGTACTTCGTACATTACCCGGCTTTTCATCCTACGACGAAAGTCGACACTGTCTTAGATGCCTCAAACCTGGAACGGGTACTAAGGACGCTCCAAGAGCGTTCTCTCTCAAACTTCGGACGACCACACGAGCTATAGGACTTACACCGACCTGCTACGATCCTGAATTTGAATTCAGCCAAGACCTTCTGACGGCAAAACATGTCGATGATATTAATATGACAGGTCTAGAGAAAACTATAGACGACTATGTACAACGTGTCGAAAAGGTGTTTGGCAAATGCAAGCTCAGCAAGCACACATACGAACTGTGCCGTTCGCTACACTAAGAATGATCAGGGAGATGTGATCATGGACCAGGACGAGTACATTAAACAACTACGTCCTATCACACACCCAGAACTTACAGGAGCGGCGGCCGACGCCAAAGCCACGAAACTCATTGCCGACATGTTCGTCAGCCTGCGAGGAGCCCTCGCCTATGCCCTTCTTACCCAAATCTGGCTCATGGTATATGTGGTCTCTCTTCAGAAAATTCAAGAGCCCACCAATTTGCAAGTCAGACGTTTGAATGCTGTGACGCGAAAGCTGATCAGCAGCCCGAAACGTATCACCTTCCCTCGGATGAAGCCGACGAATGAAGTTGACATCCATAGCGATTCGGGGTATCGGAAGCTTACCGGGGAGGAGGATGACGAGACCAAGGGCTACGGCATACGCGGGGCCAACGTACTACGGCGAGGAAACTCGCCTCAAGGCAAGTCCGTCGTTCACCTCTGTGACGGACTATGCAAATCACACCGATTACAGGTGAGGTCCAGTTATGCTGCGGAGGCACTTGCAGCCGCGCATAACCTTGATGAGTGTTACCCTACGCTCATTACTCTCCACGAGCTTAAGGCAGGGGCTTTGACTCCACGACAACTACGAGACATGCGTGAAGTTGGAGGCCTTGCTATCAAAGTCTCTCTTACCATAGACGCTGAGTCCGTCTACAAATCTTTATCAAGCAGGGATCTCAAAATACCTACAGAACGGACTCTGCTTGGACATATCAGCTGGATACGTGAGCTCATGGATATAGGTATAGTACATAATGTGCAATGGTGTGATACTAGGGATATGACCGCAGATGGGCATACAAAGGGAAGCATCGATCGGGAGCTGCTTCTGGAAGTGATGTCAGGCACTCAGTCATTTAAGTATGACGTGAAGCAATTTGTTCCCTTTCGGGGTCCCGAGGACAGAGACAAACCTAAGTCTAATCAATTTTAGTCTGTCCTTGTTGCCCTCGCGGTCCAGTTTGCCAGCACGGGCGCCTACTATAAAGGCGCCCCTTTAGCTGCTCGGAAACGAGCCTTATATTTCACGCCTGGCAACGAGCCGGCTTCGTACAACTCAGGCTCTTTGCCTTAATACACATTTGCTTGGTGAGGTATGGCCTAATTTTGGCTTACCTCTAACTAAGCCGATAGCCCTTCATTGTTTGAAGGGGCTGTCCTGTATTTGCGTGAAATACTTTGCGAGGAAACTCGCCTTACAGTCTGGTGTTTGACCAGACTGTACGCACTGTTTTCTTTTCTTTGCAAACAGTCGTGCGCGCGATCTTTGCGTGCGACTATGCTCTCCGTCTCCTCCCCTCCCGACTTTAAGGGTAGCTCTTTGGGAGATGTTACAGTATCGGGAGCATAGCTCGCGCGCCGCTGCCTTGGGCTCAAGGCACGCGCGCCCTATTTGCCCGGACACCGCGAGTGTTCGCTATGTGCTGGAAAGATCATTACATCGATCTTATCCTATCTTACCCATCCACCCCTCATACTGTACCTTCACAGCAGAGCGATGGATGCAATTTGCCAGGCTATATGCCCTATTTGAGTTACCAGGCTCACTTTCGACTTCCTCCTCCTCCTTTTCCTCCCCTCCTTCCTTCATCGCGTAGTACTACGCAATGAAGCTACTACGTAGTAGCTTACGGACAGCTCCAATAGGCATTCGTCGTGGTCGTCCCCTCCTCTTATCCTCCCTCCTCCTCCCACGCAGCGGCGGGGGTATTTGATACCCTTCACCTTTCGATGCCATCTCATTTCTAGGGACGTCCACGCTGTCGGGACTGCAGACTTCCGCCCCCGACGGATCCGCCACCACCACCTCCTTCCCTTCTCTTCCTGATCCTTGCCCACTCCCTCCTGCAAGCTCCCTGACAGGTCTTCAGGGCTGCTTATTAGGTCGTTTGGATACTGCACGTTGGCGAGCACACCAGGGAGGCCTGGTCACCTCGTGTGCTCAGACGAACCTGATGCCCATTCGATTACCTCCCTCTCTCTCCCTCCCTCGCCCCCTCTCTTCCCCTCGCCTTCTCTCTTCCCCCTCCTACCCCCCCTCTGTGTGCGAGGAGGGCGCGTCACAGAAATGCCTACAGCATTGCAGACATGCTTTGGCGAAGGACCACATTGATGGATCTGTTATCGCGACCGCCCAGCAGAAATCTGGGTTGCAATCTAAACGGTTGCCGCGGGAGCCCTCCGACGTTTCTCCAGGGAAATGCGGAACAAAAAGGCTCCCTCTTTTGAGGTTCCCGGGTGCTCCTCCAGGAGACTGGGTGCGGCCCTTGTGAAAGGGCACGCCTCGTCAGGCAGGCCGTCCGTTTAGTTCCTGCGCAGTCCGCGGAGGCGACAGTTAGTGTTAAGTCGGGCCTGTCCTTCTACAGGAGAGTATTCGAAAATAGTCAAAAAGTAGTATGGGGACTATTTTTGAGTATTTTTTTGACCATTTTGGGGTATTTTTACGTTGGAGTATTTTTCATTTTTCGTCGAACATCCCCCTGTAGGGGGACACGCCCGACTTAAAGTTAGTGTAGTGTCATGGGTCCTGGCATGACGTTGGGTGCTGGGAACGCGGAGTGAGGCACGCCCGCCCTCGCAGCACTCGCACCTTGAACGTTGTGGCGCAGGGAGCCAGGGTGGAGCACCACTCTGCCCACCTCCGTTGATGGGCTTGTTTTCTACCACCACCACCACCATAAGTTGCAGGAGGAGGAGGAGGAGGAGGAGGAGGAGGAGGAGGAGGAGGAGGAGGAGGAGGAGGACCCCCTCCCCCTCCAACTTATGGTGGTGGTGGTGGTGGTGGTGGGCAACAGGCCCATTATCCGTGGCCCGCGGCGCTCGTGAGGGCCGTGCCAGACGCGGTAGCCGGAGCTGACCCATCCTCACCCCCTTCCATCCCCTTCCCCCCTCCCCCTCTCAGGGGGGACCAAAAACACACAGACACAATTAATCGTCGATTCCCCAGAAAATATGGGAAAATATAGGAAGTGGAGGGGAAAACAAACACCCAGAAAATATGCGAAAATACGGGGAATCCTGTTATTTGTGTGTATTTATTAATCGCTTCGCTCATTCTGCCGGCCCTGGAGCGCTATTTGGGGCCTCTTGGGGCCGTCTTGGGGGCTTCTTGGGGGCTTCTTGGGAGCGTCTTGGGGCTCCTTGGCGGCGTATTGGGCTCCCCTAAGGCCTCTTGGGGGGCTCTTGGGGGCCCCTTGGGGCGGGAGGTGGGGTAGTCGATTGCAGCCCCCCCCCCCCTCGGAGGCCACGATCCTCGTGAGGGCTGGCGAAAAATAGCCTCCGCCCTGGGGATCGCCCGGGACCCGGCCGGGGATCAGCCGGGGTACTTTTCATCCGGGGCCCCCCAGGGGCCGCGCCGCGCGCGCGAACTAGAAATATTGTTAAGTAGTTACCAGAGATCGTAGCACGCCTCTGGCCCGTTGGGCCGGCGAATTTGTGTGTCCTGGGGCCCCTTCCCCCTCCTCGGACGGGGCCAGGATTCCAGAGCGTTCCAGAACGCCCTCAGAGCGCTCCGGAACGCTCTGGGAAGGCCGCGGCGCCCGAGACATCCTCCGCATCCGCCGAATTTCAGAGATTCTGGATTTATCCTCACCCGAATTGATCCTCGTCCTGGCTTCGTCTTCCTCCCTGCTCCCCACCCCAGCCGCGCCAGTCGCGGTAGCGGGAACCGACCCATCCTCCCCCCTCCCTGCTCCCTCCCGCCCCCCCTCCCCCCGCCCCTCCCCCCGCCCCTCCCCATCCCCCCTCCCAATTCCCCCTCCCTTCCCCCCTCCCCTCCCCTCCCCTCCCTGCTCCCCGCTCCCCCCCCCCCCGCCCCGAAAAGAGCGCGGCGCAGGCCCCGGCCTCCGCGCAGGGCGCCTGCGGGGGCTGCGCCCACGGCTGCCACAGCCACCACTGAGGCCCCGCTTGTGGGGGGGTCGGTAGCAGATCATGGGAGCCTGGTGTGCCCTGTCAGTTCTTCATGCTTTTCGAGTCCCCACCAGCCCATTCAGAAACCCTGACACTGTGAGCTGACGGGAAAAGGTCGCTGCTGGTGGAGGTGGTACTGCTGGTGGTGGTGCTGGTACTTCTGGTGCTGCTGCTGATGATGATGCTGCTGCTGGTGCTGCTGCTTGTGTCACTGCTGCTGGATGTGCTGCTGGTGGCGCTAGTGGTGGTGGTGGTGGTGGTGCTGCTGCTGCTGGCGCTGCTGGTGCTGTTGCTTCCTCGCGGTCCTCTTGGGGTCCTCTTGGGGCTCTTTTGCCAGGGCTTGAGTCTTGAACCCTCTTTGGAGCCTCTCGGGAGCCCTTGAGGGCATCTTGGAATATTTTGGAGAGCATCGACCAAATGAGTGGGGGATGTCGCCCCCCCTCCCCCCTCAGGAGCGTTCAGAATCGCCTCTTGGAACCATCTTCGGGCTCTTTGGGGGAGTCTTGGGGCCCTCTTGTGGCCCTCTGAGAGCCCTCTTGGGGCTCTCTCTTGGGGCTCTCTTGGGAGCCCTGGAGCGCCTCTTGGGGCGGTCTTGGAGGCTATCAATCAAAGGAGGGTGGGTCTAGATCTAGCCCTCAAAACCGCCTCTTGGGACTTTCTTGGGCGCCCTCTTGGGGCCCTCTTGAGGCGCTCTTGGGCGCTCTTGGTGCCGTCTTGGGCGCCTCTGGGGCCCCTCTTGGGGCCTTCTTGGACCATCTTTGGGCCATTTCGAGGCCCCCAAAGCACATCGGAAACGAAACGGCGAGACAGCACACATCGTACATTTTCCATAGGTTTTCGAATGATTTTGGGCTCTTGGGGGGGTCCTGAGGGGTCGCCGAGAGCACTTATAACCGTCTTGTGGCCCTCTTGGGGCCTCTTGGAGGCATGATGAAGGTCATCTCAAACGATCTTGCGCTATCTTGAGGCATCTTGGAGGCTATCTTGGAGCATCGGAGGCCCTCTTGGATCCATCTTGAGCGAAAACGGGCCTCTGATGACTCGCGACCCCTTCCCGAAGGGAGGAGGGTACCCTCCCCGAAGGGAGGAGGGGATTATTTGGAAGAGGAAAGAAAGATATCGTTAGACCACCTACGCCCAGAGGGCTGGTGGCATTCTGTCTTTCGCGTAGATTAGCGTCGATTAGCGTCTGGGAGTCGATGAGATAGCGCCGATTCAGCGTCGGCTAGCGTCGGCTAGCGTCTATTTAGCGTCGAATAGCGTGACTGGCGTCGATTAGCGTCGATGCGCAAGAGCCGACAAGATGGTATGGGAGGCTCCCATGAGTTTCCACCGCAGGGGGGACTTGGGGGGGGAGCCCCCGCGGCCGCCGCGGGGGGACTCGGGAGATTCGATGTCGCTGCCCCTTCTTTTGAAGATGCCGACGCCGCTGCCCCTTCTTTAGAAGATGCTGGTGCCGCTGCCCCTTCGTTAGGAGATGCCGATGCCGCTGCCCCCTCGTCTCGCTCTCGCTTCTTTTTGGGGCATTCGCATTCTTCGGCGCCTTCGTCGCTGCGGTCGGACTCGCCTCGGAGTCTGGGTCAGACCGCGCCCCGAGAGAGGTCGGAGGAATACCAGATTTTTCCCTTCCCCGAGAGGGGGGGTCCTCCTTGCCCGCTCCTCCTTAGCTTCCCTTCTCCCTCGTCCACTCCCAGTGCGCCGTGGGTTGTTCGGGAGCGATCGAAAGGGACCTGCCTCCCCATCCGAGGATCGAGAGTCGAGGAACGACGTTTTAAGGCGCTCTTCGCCTTTCGTGCGCCTCCAGGGGGCCTTCGGCGTCGCGGCTGGATCCTCTTCGACATTCTCGCCAGATTGTTCAGGTGCGAGGGTCATCCCTCCTCCCCTGCACGCAGAGCGTGACGCTTCGCGTCTGCAGATGGTGCTTCACTCTCTTGCACAGAGGTGCTCGGTCCGATCCTGGGTGCTAGCCCTTCCCTCCGGCCTCCCTGGCCTCCCTCGGCCCAGACCCAGACCCCACTCCCTCTTGCCACCTGTCGGCCAACTATCGAAACCCAGAATACAGAAGATATTTCAATCCCCACAAGCCCATTCAAGACAAACACGAGTTGAATCCCCACCAAGACAGGACCAGAAAAAGGAAAAAGGACAAGCGCACGGTGACAATCGGAGCTGACTGCAACGCAAAAGTTGAACACCAAGCAGATGATGACAACAAGCGTACAATGGGGAAGTACGGCCATGGCGTCACGAATGCCCAGGGGCTCTTGCTCAAACAGTGGGCGGCCACATCCAAATTGAGAATCATGAACATGTTTTTTACAACCACGACCATCAGCTCTACACCTATATGTCGCCACAAGAAAGAAAATACACAAATATATTGTAGACTCGTTAATAAATTGGTCTGGGCACATGTTCGCCATTTCGAAGCAGTTTCTGACATCTATCTTAGATTCGATCATCGTGCGCTCCGTCTTCAATCGCGTGGCCTTCGAACCTCGTGCGGAATCGAAGCAAACCCCAGGCGAAACGGAAGTCCAAGCAAGCAGCGCCAAGATGACCGCCAGACCGTCCTGATTGTTCTCTGACCGCACTCCAAGACCGCTTAGGCACATGCTCGCGAAGGACCGCCTCGAGATCACATGCGAGAAGACTGAAGAGCAACTCAGAGATGCCCTTCAACACTCTACTTCTACTTCAGAGGCTCTGCGACTGATCCAGCAACGACAAGACATACCTATGGCAGACGTCGCTGCCCAGCGGCACTTGAGCAGGCAAATCAAGCGGGAAACACTCGCCATCAAGAGAGCTTCCAGGCGAGCGGCTATCGACGATTTTCTCTACAACTTCCGTGGCCTAAAAAAACATGTCGGGCATCAAGTCTACCAAACACAAGGACCTCATTACGCAAGTGACATCCCAAGGCGGGCATGCCGTCCACGACCGGCAAAGTATCGCTGACATCTTCGCCGACTTCTATCAGACGTTGTACAAGGACTTCTGTAAATACGATGCGCCAGCTCAGAAGACCGACGCTGGCGATCCCGAAGCACCTGAGTTCACGGAGCAGGAGTTGAAGGACACCTTAAGTACAGTCAGAAACAACGAAGCAGTGGACCATGCGGGCATTGTGGCAGAGATGTTGAGCATGGGTGTTGTTTTATTCGGACAACGTCTGCTCGACCTGTACAACAACGTCGTAAAGCCGGGCGCGCCCACGCCGCAATGATGGCAACACACGGTCGTCAGCGTATTTTTCAAATTCTCAAAAGCGGTGATCCTCAGCTGCCATACAATTACTGGCCAACAGCAAGCATACCTTTATGTTACAATGTATTCTCGCGTCTATTGTACAATCGATTGTACCCCATCTTTGATCACCAGCAGTGCGCAGACCAAAAAGGTTCTCGAGCGCATCGTAACAGGATTGAACATTTGTTTACGAAGCTTGACTTCAAGAAGCTGCATAATAATGGTACATCCATACAATTGTTTATGGCTGCGGTCGGTTTCAATAAGGCCTTTGGCAGCGCCGCACACGCGAGTATCTGGAGTGCTTTACGACAACAGCATGTTCCACCATGCTACATATTTGCTCGATAAACTTCACCGCGAGCAAGTGGGAGTTGTGAAGAGAGAGAGAGAGAGAGAGAGAGAGAGAGAGAGAGAGAGAGAGAGAGAGCCAGCAAGAATTTCTGCATGCAGCGTTGAGTAAAATACGGCGGTCCGCTTTGCTTATTCTGGTTCAACGCCATCTCAGAAGCAGTAGCGCGGAACGTGGCAGTCAAATGGCGGGCGGCTTCCAGTGTCATCCCTATCAATATGTCAGTGGAACGGCCAACAAACTTACGATTTGTTGATGGCATGCTTCTTACGTCGACAACTCCCGCACACATCAAAACAATGATTCTCGACTTGAGCTCAGAGGCCGCGAAGGTTGGGCTCCAACTCCACCCACACAAACGACAATCCTTAGTGACAGATGTTTTGCTCCACGAAGCCGAAGGATCGTCGAGTCGGTCACCATCGGCGACATGATTATCGAAGTGCTATCCAGGTGCACATCCACGAACTACATCGGCAGGAAACTGCCGTTCAGTGGCGCGAACATGACAGAAGTGGAGAAACACATAGTTACCGCATGAGATAAGTGTCACGTATTTTAACAAGAGCTAGTTTCAAAGCTTTATCTGTCAGTCAGCCGCCTCAAGCTATTTCATGGATGCGTCACGCCAGCAGTCTTCCATGGATGCGAAGCGTGGGGGCCCACTGCAGATATCATGGGGTGTCTTCGTCACACACAAAGGCAGATGTTGCGCAGGATCGTTCATGTGCCACGGCGCCGTGTTCGAAGGTCAGCCGCGTTGTGCGGCGCTGGCTGGTTTTCAAGCTCACCCTAAACAATCTATGCCCTTTGCAGTTCCTCTTTCAGAAACATCCTCTGGGAGCGTCGCCGGATCAGCACCTTCTTCTCCGCCGTGCCCTGCCACCGACCACGCCATTATCGCAGAGACAGATAAGGAATCATCTATTGATTGGGCACGACGTTCCGCACATGTTTCAGAACGTCTGTTTTTAAATGAAGATATGCTCGAACGATTTGGCAATTCAGGTCCAAAGAAGGCGCTGGAAATTGGTCTTTCGCGTTGTTTCCTTATCCGAAACGGAGTGGGCAAAGGCTGTGTTATTATGGAAGCCCGAGAGGGCATGTGAAGCAACGCGTCGAGGCAAGGGGAGACTGGCAAAGGTATGGGTAGACGATATGTTGGCACATTTTCGGGCTCAAGTTTCTGACATGACACAAACTCTCAACGACATGATGAAGGCAACGTGCGCGGTCGATGCGAGCAACTACGATGAGCCGTTATGTGAGTGATGGCTTTCCCGCCCCCGCCGTCTCCTGGGCCCCTCCTCCTCGTCCTCTTCCTCGTCCTCCTCCTCCTTTCCTATTGAGCAGACGCGCCGTGGCCGTGTGCCGGCATTGTCATG